TACAATGTATTAATTATTGAAAATGTCCTATTAATCAGCTTTGAAACTGTCTCATTGATATTTAAATGACTTTTGGTGGTTGAGACCTATCATTTTCTTTCTTTCTGCCTGGAACTACTCTGATTATTTAGTCTCGGTAGGATTACTAACAATGGAACTCTCCTCCTTGGTTAGAGCTCTCAAATGTTCTTAGATGGGAAGTAGGAAGAGAAGCAGAGGCTGGATGGCATAGTGTCTGATGACATTGACTCCCAAGTCAGTCTGCTGATGTTTAAATCCTGTCTCTGCCACCCTTTAGCTGTCTGATCTTAGGCAAATTGCCTTACCTCACTGAGCTTTGATTCTCTCATCTGGAAATGGAAGCTAATAATTATGACTACCTTTTAGGGTTCTTGTATGAAGACTTCAGATTCAACTAATAGTGTGTTTAGAATAGCATCTTACATATAGTAGAAGTTCAAGCACTATTAGCTCTGCCTCCTTACCCAGCCTGCTTCCTCCTTGCTCTGGTTTGCCGCTGGTGACTCCTGGGTAAAGCAAAACGCTGCACAGCCTTTACCATGACTGCATTCCATGAGTGTCAATCTGGAATCTGGGGCAAGAGGTGTAGTTCAGTGTTAGATCATGTGCTTAACATGTGCAAGGTCCTGGGTTCAATCCCCAGTACCAAAGAAGGAAGAAACGGAATGAAGGAAGAGAAAGGTCCAGGATCTGTGTATAGTTCCACTCCCAGTAGCATGATCTCAAGTTTACTTTGAGGCCTGGATCATAAGCCTTGCCTGTGCTACTTATTGCTTGTCTCTTAAAGTGGATGGATGTCTGAGGAAATTAATGCATGAGGAGGAGTCAGTTTTGTTTCCTCCTGTCAATGATATTTTTGAGGTGTCAAAGCTCACTGGTTGCGAGGACTCCTCTGAGGAAAAGACTTCATTATCTACCATTTGTTCTGGAGCCTGGAGGCCTCAGTAGGCAAAGGTTCTCACCTATGAGTTAGTTGGAGGAACCCCAAGACAGCTTTCTGTTCTGACCAGAATTCTCTTTACCCAACTCCCTGCCACTGCAATATTTTCCTGACTCTCAATGAAGTAACGGTTCAAGCAACAGTTTCAGCCCAATGCCCTAGAAAATGAAGTGCCAAGCAGGGTTAAAAGGATTTTGTAAATCTTCGCTGTGACATGATTAACCTGCAAGATATACTTGACAGTGTCTTTGTTGTTTATTGTGATGGTGCTGCCCTCTAGTGTCAGTTTTGGGTAGAGAAACCATTTGAAACAGCCAGTAAGTAAATGTATGAATTCAGGATTTACTTATGTGGAAGACTGGAGAACAGGGCAAAGCTCCGGGTTATGAAAGAAAGAGTTTCTGCCTCCAACACACTATGCAGAGCCTGTCTTCAGCCCCTACTTAGCTTTTGCCTCTTCCATGGAGAAGTCAGGGAAGCTATTAAACAGCAGGAAGGGAGTGTCTGAAAAATATCCCGGTTGGCAGACCTTGCCCACTTCAGAGTAGTCTCTAGAACAGTGGGAAAACACTTCCTCCTTTAGAGAAGGTTTTCCTTTGACTTCAGAGATTCCCTGGCTTCAGTTCACTCGCACATATCTCTTTGCTCCTGGCGCTGGATCATCTCTTGGTTGCTCAGCAGGTAGTCATCGATGAATGTGAAGATTTCCTCTGGGGTGACAGGTTCCATGTAGCGTTCCCGGTCAATACCCTGTTTGTCAATCAGTACCATGTTGAAGTAGGACCGAGTAAGGTGTTGGAATTGCCTAGAGAGAGCAGCCCAAAGAAATGTGAGACCTTATTTGGGCATTTGGCCCTCAGGGCTCTACTGGGCTCTGACTTTGCACAGCTTACCTGATGGACTAATTCCTTCTCTGTCCTGTTTCTTGTTTCCATCCCCTCCATGACTTATCTCAAGTCTCTTTGTTTTTTTGTGCTCAGACCCAATCTCTTGCCTCTATGTGTCTAGTTCTAAGCTTTCCTTTCCTCACCCAAGGTGAGGCAGCTTTGTTATAATCAGACTATGCTTCTGTTGTAGGCCTCTTTAAGCAGGGCTCCTACATGTCAATATACAAGCTACATGGAATAACTCCAGGAGATGCCCTTCACAGACATGGATGGATATAATTAGACTTTAGGGTCTAAACATGCTTTGTAACCCTTTGGGGACTGAAGGCAAAAAAAATGTAGCAACAGGATTTGATGGTTATCTAAGTCAAGTTTGGGTCTGTCTCAGAGGATTCGTAGTTACTGTAGGTGCCATTTTGAAAGTGCACTTATGGTGAGACCTGGTAATCTATACTGTTTTAATGTTTCCCTAAGAGTTGAAACACAAGAAGTGCCTCAAGAGAGTAGTGTCTACTCATGTGCCACCTACTACATTGCCACCTACTTCAGTATCCTGCCCACGGTTTCTGCCCACCCCTGCCCCATAGCCTCCCAGCCTAAACCTGAGTTCTTCGATGATGCTGGATGACAACTGTTGCTCCCGGATGCGCCCCACATCCTGAGGTGGCTGTCCCACCAGCTCAATAATGGTCACATGCCGCAGGTCTAGTCCACAGATAGATTGCTAGGGAGTGGAGGGGAGAGAACAGTTAATGGAACCAACTTTGGGACTCACACCTAAAGCTGCTTGTCTGATTCCACCTGGTGCCACACAGAAAAAAAAAAAGAATCCTCAAAGTTTGGGAGCTGGCGGGTTAGCTCAGTTGTCTAAAGTGCCTTCTTGAGCAAAATCAGTCTGGCAAAGGACTGTGGTTCGATCCCCAGCACCACATGCCACACCAGACCTGCCCTTAAGGCAGCCTGAGCCAGCTGGAAAAAAAATCCTCCTCCTGGTGCCACATGAATAAATATGGGAGGGAGGATTTCTCTTTCACTGAAGGCACAATCACAAGATCACAATGGACACAATATGAGAGCTACATAACCTTTTCCTTCTACCATTCCTGAAGTACTTGCTCCAAAAGTGTTTCCTTAATTCTCCTGCAGGCCATGAGGCCCTTTGCAGAATGTAGAGTAGAAAATGGAAATATAATCACTAAATTGCAAGAACATAATTATTGCTTAGCCTTCCACAAGTTTTTTTTTTAATGTATTTAGTACAAGGGCTCCAGGGGCTACACAGATCAGACTTGTAGTGATTCTCCTGTTTTCAGCTTCCCAAGCACTGGGAGGTGGATACCACCATGCCCAGTCTCAGTCACCATCTCAGCATGCCCTGACAGTGAGGCTGGTACGGCACTATGAGGATCGAACCCTGGTCCCTGTGTCTGCCTAAGCAGGCACTTTAATCTGCTGAGTCATGTGGCCAGCCCTTCCACAAGTTTTAAACTACCTAAGGTTCTTCTTTTTTTTTTTGCGGAACCGGGGATTGAACTCAGACCTTTGCACTTGCCAGGGAAGTGTGTATTCCACTGAGCCATCTCCCCGGCCCCTAAACTACCTAAGTTTTTAATGGATGGCTATTGTAAGATGATAATGGCTGTTTATTTATTAACACATACCTAATGCTTCCTAAGAATCAAGGCTAACAAGGTAGGTGGTGTCATTCTTATTCCACAGAGGAGAAAGTAAGGCCCAAATGTGCATGGCAATAACATGGTAAGCCAAGACTCAAACTGAGGCCTGCTGCAGCCTGCCTGCATGTGTACCCTTTCCCACTAGGCTACATGTCTAGGGCCTGCCTTTTGTCAGTCCTAGGATTTCTCCAAAATAATGCCCAGTGCTCTTTTCATTACCCTTTCTTGCTTTCCTTGCACTGGGCAGCATACCGTACAACACAGTCTTCCCTAGCTTTTTGTCCTGCCATGTCCTGTAGGATCTCATCCCTGGCATTTATCTGGGTGAGGTGTAAAGAGTCATGAGACATTCCCTAGTACCCCATTCTTGCTCTATTTGTAGTCTTTTATCTATTTTTTAAAAAAATTTATTTGTGTGTGTGTGTGTGTGTGGCCAGCTCAGCCCACCAGGGGGCGGGACTGGCTGGCATGTGGTGCTGGGGGCTTGAACTGTGGTCCCTGGGGTTTGCTAAGCTTTTTCTCTGTAGGTGCTTTAGACCACTGAGCCATCTCACCAGCCCCCTTTTATCTAGTCTTGATGCTCAGAATTAATGCCTTTGTTGTCAGATCGCTGTTCTTTCTCTTGATTCCTTTTAAATGGAGCTGTTGCTCTTGTCTGATTTATCTGCATAAAGGAACAGAGTCCTTTTTGGTTTAGACACTGAGGTTCATGCTTTTGGTGAAACCACTGCCATCATGGGCCATAATGACTTGGCAACTTGTGTGATTCAGCCTTTAGAAATCCCTACATAGCTTTGTCTTTTACCTGGTTATCCAGCCCCTTTCAGCTCCCCGGTGCTGCTTCTCTCTGTCCTATCAATACAGCTTGTTCTCCTAGCAACCTAGTATATTCCCTTCATAAATCCCAATGGTCCTTTCGCCTCGGTCCTACCTACCTCACTGTTATCCACAAGTGGCTTTGACTAGGTGTCTCTTAGTATGTTACAAAATCATGCAACTTCCTCGTTTTACTTTGGGATATCACAGTACTTTTCCTACTGGTAGTGGGGAGAGCCCAAACCCAGACTGCCTGGGTTCAGTCCTAGGTCTAACACTTAATATCTGGTAACCTTGAGAAAATCACTTCATATGTCTATGCCTCAATTTCTTCACCTACTCAATGGGGATTATAATGCCTACCTCATAAGGGCTGTTGTGAGAATTAGGGACATATAAAGCATGTAGATTAGTACCTGGTACCTCCACAGTACTTGCTGTATGTGCTTTTTAGTGCTCTTGTTCCCTGAAATCACAAATGGAGTTAGTTGCTGGCATTAATGTTTGATCATAGCTATCTTATGAGTCTCTCCAGAATGCTTTTCTGTACTCCTGTTTCATTTTCTTTCTTTCTTTCTTTCTTTCTTTCTTTCTTTCTTTCTT